ACCTTCCAAACTGAGCCTTTGTCTTTAACAAATAACCACAGAAGTTGCATCTTAAAATTAAGGGAAATTGTCAAAAACTCACCATGAGTTTTCAACATTTCTCTTAAACTCACCACAACTTTTCAAAATGTCTAAAACTCACCTTGTAACTAACTTGACGTTAAAGAGACTAACAACTGTTAATATATTGTCATTTTAACCTTCATAGAAAAATATAAAATATATACATATATTTTAATATTTAGATATGAAAAAAAGGAAAAGTTCAAAAAATATTTTCAAATATAAAATACATAGAAACACAGAAATTGGAAAAAATATAAAAAATTATAGAAATTGCACACAAAATAAAAAATTATTTTCAAATTATAGAAACTATAGAAATTGGAAAACAAAATTAGAAAATAAAAATTGTAGAAAAAATACCAAAAATTATAGAAAAGCACAGAAATTGCAAATAAATAAAAAATACAGAAAATCTTATAGATTGTAGAAAATAGAAAAATGTAAGAAAACAGAAATTATAACAAAACACTAAAATGTAAAAAAAGAAAAATTGAAAAATGAATTTTCCTCTAACTCACCATTCAAGGGTGATGGACACCTCTGCTAAGAAACATTAACGGTGTACTAAAAGAATGTGAGTTTTGGAAAATAAAAACTTATTGACATAATGAGTTTTAAACGTTTTGAAAAATTGTGGTGAATTTAAGAAGAATGCTGAAAACTCATGATGAATTTTAGACAATTTCCCTAAATTAATATTAATTTCTATAAAATTAAAAGAGAAAGAATTTAAAATAAACATGAGGATTCCTATTTCTTGTCCAAGTATCCAACATTCATCATCATTCACCAGTCACCACACCTTACAGTTTTGATTCATGGACCATTTCTTTTCAGAATTGAGTGCTTGGATGGACCATATTCACCCTCTATAACATGCCTAGTTATGAAAAGAACTTTGACTTGGGTTTGCAAAAGGGCTTCCTTTTCTTATGATGAATTCAATGAGCCAAGACTACTTTACTCTTGATTTGATTTGTGGTGAAGAGGGCTTGATGTGTCCTCATCACTTTCCTTCCTCTCTCTTTCTTTCTCATATTTCAACCAATATGGTTAATATCTAACATGCATTTGAACATTACCAGTATATACAAAAAAAAAAAGAAGAAATTAGATTAAAAGTTGTAGAAATATGAGACATGAGATACCCAGTTAAGGACTATAACTCCTTTTACGTGTAAAACTACAAAACCAACCATGTTGCTAGCTGATGATTTCTTTTTAAACTTGGCGAGACCACATTTCAGTGTGCTCACATGGTGAGAGCAGATACCATACTAGACAAAAGTAGGCCACAAGATAGGGATGTCTCAGAGCTTTTTAAATCCACTGTTTAGGTAACTGGGACCTTCTGTAGGCAACTGATACTGACCAGATGTGATTGCATTTGACGTCTGTCGTCTCTATTCACATCTACTACTCACCATTCACCAACAATCCGCATCCCCAACTCCACTCGCTTTCTCACGGAATGAAGTTATTGTTGGTTTGTCTTCACAATTGTTTTAAGGTCTTTTACTAAAACAGCCCTTATAATTTTATGAATTTACTAAAATCTATTCTATAATTTGTGCTTATTAAAATAAAATTGATTTATTTAATCGATCTTTCATTGAAAACCGTCTGTATTGCCTTTTGAAAATGGTTATCATTTAAACGGAAGGAAAAAATACCTAAAGGCATCAGCCCATGAGTAAATATCCCTAACACTTATCAATTTATAACTTCATATGAAGTTTATAGGAGACAATGTTTGGTTTTCCGATCTAACAATACAGTGTTTGGTTTTAGTACGAAGAAGAGAGAATAATGACGCTCGACATGCCTCAGAGAACAAAATAGTTATCAGTGTTTCACCGGGGTGAAGAATAATGTCTTCATTTTTTTTTTTTGATTAAATTTGTTCAAAGGAATGTTAGGCTGCATTTGGAAACGATGCAAATGGAGTGTAAATCTCAGTTCATGGTAAATTTGCACTCTGATTCACTTTTATCTGTATTTGACAATATTACATTTATGCATTGACAAATTGCATACTAATGCATATTTACATTGATAATAAGATGTAAAAGTACATCAACAAAAAAGAAGTAAATTTGCATTCAAGTGGGCTTTTGATAAAAGAAACATATGTTTTATTGGAATTCATGTTTGCATCCATTACAGCTAAAAGTCTGGTTGGTAAGAAGGTAAAATTGTCAACATAAAACTAACCCAAACTTATAATTTATATGAACCATTTTATACATTACATATTTGCATTCGCACTTATTTGTATCATTTCCAAACACAGCCTTAGGGTCAAACCATCATTTTTCACTCGGGTTCAATGGAAAGACATATACTCGAAAATTTTAGAGTCAATCAATTACTATCATAGAAGAAGTGACAAATCTGATGGTATTCATCAAAATTCGGAAGGTGCTTTGGTTAGTCAAAGACTCAAATCTCTTCTGATACCATGTCTTTTCACTATCATAGGTTTTTCCTTTTCACTTCTATCTAACTATGGTTTTCGAACCGTCGTTGACCCAGACAATTAGACCGTTCGGCCCAAAAATCATTCAGAAAATCAATTCCATTTTTACCCCAAACCCAGTCTTTGGCCAAAAACCATTGAAAAAATCAACAAACCATTGGCTCGTCAACCTGTTCAATGGTTTTTATTTTTCTTTTATTTTTAATTACTTTTTTATATTTTTAAATTTTTAGTATGAACAAACCATCCATTGGAACTTGACAGTTGAACTATTTTTGGTCAGAATAGTTTCATTTCCTGATCGTTGTTTTAAAACCATGTATCTTACTCAAGGTTGATTAGTTAAACCAATTGCAAACCATATAGGGGAATGTTTAATGTTTTAGTAAATGACTTTTGCTTTAAATACAAACTCACAACTCGGAGATCCGAGTCACAAGTATACTCGATGACTTGCAGAGTAATGTTCTCCAATGATTCTTAAGTTGATCAAACTGAAATGGAAGTGTTAAGTCGGTTCATTTCAAATTTCCTGTGTTTCAACAAATCAACTCAGTTAACTCGATGCTTTGCAGAACTGACATCGGTTGAACTCCGGGTTGAGTTGACACATAGGCATTGAGACTGATAGTCTGACTCAAATTTCTTAAGAATATACGGTGGCAAATCCGAATCCGGATCTCTTACCCACTTATCCACGGAACAAAAACATCCTACCCGAGCTGTCATTTCTTTTAATTATCGGTTTACAATTCGAATTACATTCTGATTGAGCATTATTTCCCAAATCCCAACCAAACTCGGATCAACTTGGCTGGACCCACTCATCTCTTATACAAAAGTCATTGATCTTCCGACTACTTTCCCGTTAAGACTAGTCAAATTTTCAGATGGGTCGGATCTGAGCAGACCATCCACCTACCTGACCAGTTTCCTACTTTAATGGGGCTCCTTTTCTTTTCTAATCTCTTAATTACATGCGTGTGCGTGCATATAAATATGTATAATATGGTTGATTGGTTCATGTCATGTCACTTTATCTCCAACCAACATGAAGCTCTTTTTCTCCATGTCTATGGTGGTCCTAGATGCTAGAGGGAACGGTCCACGGCTAGAGCCAACACCAAGGACAAATCACCAAATGACCCATGACCTACCTTTTGTTATACATCCAGAGAAAATCAAAGTAGGGTAATTATATGAAAATTAGTGAGTTATACTTGAAGCTATATATGTTTGGTTTGATTGCAAAAAGAAAAGAGAGAGAAATAGAAAGTTAAGAGAAAGTTTTCAATAACGAAATTTATAAGCATCCTCATTCCTCAACAACTTTTCATCAACTTTCAGTTTGTTATTTTTTCTATCCAACCAAACAAAGTTTTAGAGACTGTTTGGTGTCTTTTTGGAAGATCTTTTAGTAGTTTTGATAGTCAAAAGATACATTGAGCTTCTGTATGAAAATTTGAGAAACTCGAAGCTAGTTTAGTAGATCTTTCTATGTCTTTCCGTGTGAGAATAAAGTGAGAAAGATGCAAAAAACTCCATTTAAAACTTCCTGAAATCAGCCCAAAATGGGCTTCTCGCATCTTTTCACACCGACTTTTGGTGGTTAAATCTGTTACGAAGTAAACGGAAAAAGACCACGACGCAATTTGCCCGGATTGTAAATAACCGAATGACCATACAAAAAGATGAGCCAAACAGGGCCTTAATTTCTTTCAAAGAAAAGCTAGTTCTCCTAGAAGAAACATTATACTCCCTCATGTGGGGACTAAAGAAACAACTTCACAAGACAACTCTTTGGAGTGCATGGGGTTACACAACATTGTTTGGCTCTATGTATACAAAAATCTCTGTACATGTACAGTGTGTCAGCTGAGCCTGACTGACTGAAATTGAGTGTGTGATTTAAATATTTAATGAGTTTGAGGCCCCGTTTGGTTCGAGGGAATAAGGGTCTGGAATTGGAATCGAAATTCTATTCTTATTTTTGGTGGAATGGCATTTTCCCATTTGAAGAAATGGCCATTCTCTCTTTTATCACTTGGGAATGAAATCCCATTCTTATTAATTCGAATATAATTTTTATTCTCATTCATGCCTGAACCAAACAAACTAGAAAAACAAATGTTAGATGGTATACAGGAGCTCACATGACTTAGTTCAGCTCCTTACACCTCTAGTAGGGAGTAGAGACTAGGGAAACAAATGTCAAACCACTTCATGGTTCTCTAATGAATTGCCCACTTCATTAGAAGCTTCCTAGCAAAAGAATAATAAAATTATTGAACAATGAAATAGGAATAAATGTTGAAGACTATAACAACAAACTCTCCAGTAGTTTATTTACATACCCATCTTCTCAAAAGCTAGCTTTATATAGCTAGCCTCTCCCTATGGAGACCCATCTTGTGAAAACTGAAAAGGCTTTAGAAGTTCCATGGAAGCCAACTTGTAAAGGGAAATTCTCTTTATACAAGCCTTGTGGTCAAAAGGAAATTAAATAATACAGGGAAAGCTGGACAGCACTTTGGATGCCTGCTTTAGACTCCTAACTCTTTGGATTCAAAGAGCAAGTACTGTGTCTGTGTAAGCATGTGAACTTGAAGAGGAATGCACGAAAAAGGCAAACAATGGCTTCATAGTTTGGTGTTGCTTGGGCCCATAATCATCCATCTTTACCAAACAGTACCCAAATCACCTGCCAATATATATTAACATACGGCATCGCTTGCCACAAATCTAGAGATCGAGATCAGACAGCTGAGATCTTGATCGGAGCATCATCTTATTGGGTGCTCTAGTTTTTCGTAGCAGGAGTCTTGCTATAGTGCTGTCATGCTAAGCTAAACTATCAAATCCAAGAACAAAGCAAGCGCAAGACTGCAGAAATCATGCGGTCTTCTGATCTGTATCTACCATCTCAATAATGTATTGCTTTACACAAAAAATTGAAACCCAAACAAGGTGAGGAGGAAAGGTCTGCTGTCTCTTTCCTTGTGTCTCTTTATTCCATGTTCCTCCTCTTTGTCAGAGTTCTCATCCAGCCCTTATTTCTCACCTTTACTCCCTCCACCTTGGTGCCCACATGGCACACATTGGCCTTGCTGGACCTCTTCCACCGCATGAGGTGGAACAGGTGACCAATCCGCTTCCGCCACCTCAGCGTTGCACGTGGTTTGGCATGCTCTACCACAGTCTTAACGTCCCTCAGTGGTTCCTTGCTCAACTTTTGATTACCATTCATGTGAAGGGGCCCAAGGGACACCTTAGAGCCTGTACCCTTATCCCATGAGGCAACACCATTGTCTTCAAACTTGATGGAAATGAATGAATCTGCAAAAGTTCAAACCAATTAATAATAAACCTCAGAACCCATTTCATATAAAATATGAATAATGCTGGTTTTTATTCAAATAATACAATAAGAAGAGCTTAATAACAAGAGGACACCAAAGGGTACCAGCCACACGTGGTTGAGCTGATCCCACCTAGATTTCCATTACATGAACAAACATTATCAGATGAACATAAACATCCACTCTGTCGACATGCTTCCTTGGCTATTATCTAACAAATAATGCAATAATTGGATATCTAGGAACTTCTAAACCACCCCAAAAAGAAAAGATAAAAAAAAAAAACTAAAATTTACTAGTGGATCTCCAAAACCAAACTAGCTAGGATCCATTTGCATGTTGGGTGCAATTTTCAGTATGAGAGCTAGCACAGTAGTTTTCTCTTCTTCCTCACCAAATGGGTACCCTAGTTTTCAGTCCTTGGCTCGTTGCTTGTGGTTGGGAGCATTGAACTGAGGAAAATTCAGCTGTCCTAAACCACTTGGTAAAGCCCCTCAGGATGTATAAATTGAATTGAAGCAAACTCATGCTGATCACTAGAAATACAGGGAAATTCACAGATGGAACTATAATTTGGTGCATGCGAAGATGATGAATCAAATTAATCCTAAATGATGTAATATGCGAAGAGAATGTTTTACAAATTATACATCATTATGAGGTGCAAGATGGATCAGGGAAAAGATGTTAAGAAACCAAGGCAGAAATTATTCGAAAGAACTGGTTTTCTAAGCGTCTGTGAGCCAACTATTGTTCTTACTCTGGTTATAATATTGAATTTACTGAAGAAAAGAACTGGTTTTTGGAGGTGTACCTTCTTGGCTTGTGGACAAATCATCGTCGGAGGCATCAGATTTCCGATGTCGGAACTCGAGGCGATGAAGAAAGGACCCCAAAGCGAATATCTTTGGCAGGGTGATGGGACGCTTCCTGTGCTCGTCAATGCTTGCTCTCTTGGACTCGGATAGGGGAAGATGTCCTTGCTTTGCAGCCAAGATGAGAAGTCTCTCTCTCAAGCAAAGGGCACACACCCCCACAATCACTTCTTTGGGATGGAAATAGCAACAAGGATTCTCTTCACCATAATCATTCATGTTTGTAAGAAGTGAATCAAGGCTATTGGAAGAGGAAGAAGAAGAGAGCAATTAATTAGAGAAGATGGGTGCAAATAGGATCAAATAAGGCCTAGAAAACAGTATATATATGATGCAGTCCCCCTCATCATCAAGTCCTGAACTTACACGTGGCTCCCTAAACTATCAATCTTACGAGTTGGGATTTTTTGCCCACAATAACTCTATACACGTCTACTTACATATCATCGCAGCCACACATCAAGAACATCTCATCCTCCTACATAGTATTTTGTATAGGAAAATGTTTGCAACGCACAAAAATAATGTGTTGTGAGTAGACGTGGGCAGGAGATCTGGAGTCATGTCAGGGGGGAGAGGGGGTTGAGTTTTTGGTGAACCTCTAGGAACATTGTAAAGTTTTGGGACTTTCCTTTTCTGCACTTTCTCTTATCAAGGCACTATCTTGTGGTTACCCAAGATTTTAAAATAGTAAAAAGTTTGGAGTAATTTGTAAAGCAATGTTTGTATTAAGAATCAACCACACTTTCACTAACTTGGGTAAGAATCTTTACTTTTTAACTAAAATGACGGTGCAAAAAAATCTATGTTTAAATACTCAAAAATGAAATAAAAAGTTATTCCAAATTTAAGTAGGTACTATATATATAAGTTGAAAAGTCACAAACTTTCTCTACATTATTACCCCTTTGATTGCAAGTAAAACAAAGGAAAGTAAATGGTTTGCTGAAAATTTCAATTTTACAGTGTGCACATATTCAAAAGTGAAAAAAGAAAGTAAATGGTAATTATAGGGAAATGTTATCCCTTCTAATTTAATTTTCATCTCATTTAGATTCCCATTTAAGATTGATCTTCTTAATTTCATAGCTTATTATATTTCCCAAGTATTTAGATTTGCTTCTCCAAGTTTAGGTGAAATGCTAAAAAATTTTGGGATATAATTTGTTTTTCAATTGAATATCATTTTCCAAAGGGAATAATTTATTTTAGGTGCAACCAAAAGCTGCTTTTAGGTAGAAATCATACATTTTTGTAAAAGCTGGAGATAAGGATGAGAGGATTCTTTTATCCCACCAACTGCACATTGGAGAAAACTTTGCTGTTGAGGAGCTTTTTCCGTATTGTATTAAATGATTTAAATACACTGTCCTAAAATTAAAAGTTCAAGGTATACTCAATCAATCTACTGTTTGACTTTTTGGTCAAAAAAAGCATTAAGAGCAATTACTCTTTTACCCCGCAGCCTTGATATTGTGTCATGTGAAAGATGTTGATTTGAATGAATTAATTAATTAAGGAGCCAAAGTTTTTTTCAGCACATTCCATGGTATAAGATGACGATTTGAATAATTTCAGACATCACAGCCAAATGTCATAGTTCAGTTAGAACATATAGTCCAACAAGTCCTGACAATCTTACAGACCACTTTCAGGGAAATTCCATGGCAATTTAGACAGATCAGTGCTACTGCTCTGGGACAAGTTGCAAATTTAATCAACAAACAGAACGCCCATTCAATTAAGGAACAAACTATTAAAATAATGGGCAGTCAGTCATTGAGGAAAATGCAACCACATTGTTACCATATATCAAGGATCGATCTGTTTCATGTAAATTAAGCTTGGTAAATAATTAAGCTATATATATATCAATTGACAGGCTCATTGTAGATTTCTGAATCCCGCAGAATGTAATATTCAAAATGTCAAATACTCTCATTATATGCATCAATACCCGCCTTTAAAGAGGCATCAATTCCTAACTGGCACCTATCCCAAATGTAATTTGGGACTAAAAATTCTAATTTTAGGCTGAATCGTCATTCTTTCTAAATGTGTAAAAGCTCTATGAAATAGAGCAATTAATTAAGGCTGCTCTATGATTTGTGTATGAAATCCATGCATCATCATTGTGATCATTATAAATCCCAGTCTGGTATCATCATCATCTAAGCCTTGTCTCAAATATATGGGGTTAGTTACATGAATCTTATTTTATCATTCTATTCTGTTCAGTGTAATATTCATCATTAAATTATGGGTAATCAATTCATTTTTTTTTACTATTTCCACTTTATATCCTTTTTGGTGTGCTAGCTCTCTAACCCCTTCGACTTGTAATAGATAATCTGAAAAAAAGAAAAACTTTGTAATAGATAATGTTTATTACAAGCTCTGGTAAAGGAGGGAAGGTTAGCAACCAGCATTAATAATTTTTTGCCAAACTCTCATGATCATCATGGCCATCTTGATTTGCCTAGGTCTATCTTAAAAATGTATCTAATGAGATTGGAAAAAAAGATTAAAGTAATCTCTTGCTATGGATAGTCAGAAAGAAGATCATACAACAGATGAAACCCTAAATTGGTTTCAAGGAAAGGATCCTTGACTCCACCCAAATTAGCTTTATGAATTTATACATACCTTAAGTTTCTGAGTAAAATTGTAATAGGGTGTAATTTAAGTAAATATCTTAAAGAACCTTTTACTCTAAAAGCTAATACACCCTCTCACTTAAAAAGTGTATAACTACAGGCCCACTCACAGCTTGTGTTGACAATTTAAAAGCTTAAACTGTTAGGTAATGTCTGTGAATAGGTTTTTATTCAGTAAAACAAAAAATGTGTTTTAATATTATTTATCATAAGTCATAAAATAGTACTATGCTAGTGACTTATTTTTCAAAAGAAATTGCCCATCATTTTTTACTTGGCTTGTGTTTTTTATCTAAAAGTCTAGAAAATGTTGCTCAAGAGTCAACACTAATGAATTTTATTGAAACTGCAAAAGCCTTTTAATCCATGCTACAGAAATTAATGGGTATGCAGTTGAAAATATTAATTAATGTTTGGTATTGATACTGCAGATACAGCACGTTTTTTGAGAAAATAGTGTTTTTTTTTTGTTTGGAAACGTTGCTGCTAGGTAGGACGTTTCTGTTTGGTACCAATGCTCCATATCTGTTTTCAACACTGGTACCCATTATAGGAAGTCCACATCACTGCCATATCATGTCCTTATTGGCAGCAATGAACTCCAATCCGAGAAAATGTCAAATTCGGCGTTGCTCCAAACCACGCCTTCTTGATTTCTAAAGTGTGGCTTGGAGCACCATTTTTTATAGAAAAACGGTTCCAAACATATTAACGTTTCTTGGAGCACCATTTTTTCCAACGTAGTGCTGATATGTCACCATTTTCTGGAGCAATAGAATCGATGCCAGACCGACCCTAAGTAAGAGTGCACCTCATCCACAATAAGTGTGAATAGAATTTAATTAAAAATTTAAATTATGAGATAGTTACTAGCAATATTTGCAGTTAATTTTGAAGGTAATAGCTGATCTAACAATGAAGAAAAAGATATATAAATAAGTGAAAAACATATGAAATAATTGGAAACAGGGACCAGCTTGATGCTTAGCCGAAAAAGAGAAAGCTCTGAGAAGTCATTTATCCAAAGATGACAAATACTGAAAATCCCATGTGAAGCTTACCCTTATTATAGTTCAGGAGCTCATAGATGAATAAGGATCCAAGGTTCCTGAAGAGAAATCTATGTCATATTTTCTTTGTTGATAGATGAGTGTGGGCCATAGCTTGAATGAAATTTATTCCCAAGCTTCGATGAAAGTTTCTGTAAACATAATGGGTTTCAGTATCTATTTATTACAGAATCATAGCAGCAGCAGCAGACTTGTCTCAACTATATACATGGAATGGCTAAATGAATTGAAATCAGCTTCAGTGCTCACTAGACTGCACTTACATCGTTTATACAGTCTTTTATAGCCTTATATTAAGAATATCTCTACTTATATACCTTTTTATGAAGAGATATTCCAAATGTAAGACATTTGGTTACCAAAGCATTAATTCCATGGCCATTTTAATAACTCTTGATTAGTAATTAATCCCCTCAAATTTAATTGGTTACAAAAGAAAAACATTATGGTTGGTTGTTGGGTTGGGGATCCCTAACACAAAAGCATTAATTCCTCATTTAATTTGCATCCACTTTTTTGTGACATATTATCATTGTTTATTTAATTATTTCCAAGACTAGACAATGAAGGTAGCCCATTCGTGATACTGTGATACACACAACTCCCCCAAACCCGTGGGATTTCATCCCAAATCTTCACTACAATCAGCCAAATTTATAACCAACCATCAGTTGATACATACATGTATAAGCAAAATGATTCGAGTAGGGGTGTCACTTGGACTGGATTTGGTCCAATCCAATCCAGTCCAATGTGAATCCAATCAGGTTTAATCTAATCCAATGAATGTTTTGGATTAATTTAGACTGCTCAATTCAATGTCTAGACTATTCAATCTGTTCAAATTTATTTTGGTTTAGATTAGTTTCAACCCAAACATGGTCCATTGACACATGTATTCATATCTTATATCAATAGATCAATATTGGCTTAATCCAACCCAATTCAATATAAATTTGTTACAAATGGACCAGGTTCAATACAATCTAATAAATATTTTGGACTGGATTGGTCCAATCTAATATGTTTTGTTGGCCCATTCAATCCATCTAAATTGATTTTAAACCGATCTATTGACACCCTTAGATTCGACTACGATACTAAAAAAACTTGTTACCAATCAACCAGTGTCATAAAAATACATAATAATCAATCAAGTGGTATTTATCAAAATTCAACCTGGAGGAGGGGCCGAGAGGGGTTGATTGGTCAAAGCTCTTTAATTCAGTATCTATCTTTCCAGCATCAAAGTTTTGCAAACAGATTTGGGGTCCATTGTGTTTTAAATGGACGCTCATTTTCTTCTAAGAATTCCCTTCAAATACAAGGCATCTATATTCATCAATTAACATCAGTTCTGGGGATTCTAGCTAAGCTGTTAGGTGAGGTTCCTGAAATTTTTATTCTCTAACATATGTTGGCTGCATTAGATACATCTGAAGATGCTTCACCCAATCCCAGGTTTTCCATTCCCTAGTCCAAGTTTGCAAAGAAACAAATAAAAAAATAATAAAAAATCATGCAGCTGGTTCGTGGTCCTTGCTTTTGTGTTATG